GCACCCCCCTGAGCGCTCTATCCCGGGGACCTGCCCTCCGAGCCCCCGCCGGAGCCCGGTTCCCCGCATCACGGTGCGCCTATTGCCCGGGCTGGGCTAAGGGGGATAGGGGGGCAGAGGGCAGGGCCCCCACCCTATGCCTTACCCAGGGACCACCCCCCCAGCCCCTCGGAGTGGCGCCACTTGTTTGGGCCATCAAATCCCCGCAACCTCAACTTCCTCCCTGAAGACGCGGACGTGCCCAGCCAGCCTCGACGCGGTGACCAGAGCCTCAGCCCGAGGTAGCCCCCAGGATGGACCCGATAATCGGGGCCCAGGTGTCCTGGTACCCAGACCCTTCAGAACCAGGACCGTCTTCAGTTGGGTCTTCATTCCTCCAGGACTACCCACCCCAGTACCCACGCCGCCCCCAAGCCTCCCCAAACCAGGTGTCCTGATGCCCAGACCCCGATTTCGCGAGGACGCAAACATCCGTGTACCCCTTCCCCCAGCCTCGGGATACAAGCGTTCCGATACCCTAGCCCTCAGGGCACTGGAGTTCCGGCCCCTTATTCCTCCAGCATCCCGGAGTTCCCCATCCCCTCATGTCAGCCAGCGTCCCTTACCCGCAGGACCCTACGCCTCGTTACCTGGCCAAGGGGCGGGCTCCGGGCTCGGCGTGGGGCCGGCCGGGCGGCGCAGAGGGGCGGCCCCATAGACCCCGGGGCGGGCCGCGCTCGGTGGGGCGAGGGTTCTGGCGCTAGGCTCTCCGCGCCCACCGCGGCCTCGCAGATTTGGAGAAGCCGGGACGGAGCTGGCGGGCAGGGGGCGGGGTCTGCCGGAGCCCCGCCCACCGAATCTCCGCCCCCGCTCCCCGGTCCAGCCTAGCGCCAGCCCCTCTGCCCTTTTCCATGGTCGGGGGTTCCCAGCGATCCCGGCTTCGGAGAAACCGAGGCACACACCTCCGAACGCTTGTGTGCACTGGGTGATGGGAACACTCAAACTCGTCCGTGACAAGCACAGTTAACGACCTGGGAGCGCGTACGCGCTGCTGATCCTCTCCCCACTGCAAGGTTCTGAGCAGGGCTGTTACTAAGCCCGTTTTACAGCCGGGGAAACCGAGGCATAGAGAGAGTCTCGCCTGTGGGTGATGGTCTCTCAGCCGGTAGTAATATTTTCCTCCGGAGGGACTTGTTAGGGTTAGGGTGGGGATTCGAGCTCAGATCACTGGCTCCTGTCTCCAGACACCACCCACTTCCTGGCTGTGTGGCGCGGACAGGTGCCACGGACAATTGCAGTACCCACGTCATAGCGTCATTGCCGGCATAAAATGCATTCGTCCAGTTCTCGAAGTGCGACCTGCATTGCTCCCTGAGACTGTCTCAGGAGCTTTGCTGCGGCAGGTTTTCATACTGAGACGTTTTCTACCTTTTCCGCTCCATTCTCCCATGACTGTCCGATGGAGTTTTCCAGAAGCTGCATGGCACGTGATATCGAAACAGACTGAACGCAGAAGCAGCCATGAAAATCCAGCTGTCTTCTATTATGCTGTGCTTTAAAGAGATTTGCAAAAGTGTAAAATAATGACTTCTAATTTTTTTTTTGTATTGGAAAATGTATTTTTCATAAAATGTTATTTATGTTAACCTGTAATGGTTTTCTTATTGTTCTTTAAAAATGAGTGTTATCTTTAAAAATTCTCAGTTTTAATTTCTGACATTTATAGAACAAAAATAAAAGCTCTTTGGTCTTCCCTAAGAATAAAAAGTCTCGAGACCAAGAAGTTTAGAACCTCTAAGTTGAGCCATTTAGCTGAGAACAGAGGCAGGTATTCGATATGCTAGATATTATATACATCCGAAGATGCATACACCCTCAAGTACCCGCATACAAATCCTCTTACCTAGACGCCACTCACTCCCAGAGTCACTGATAAACTGACACACACACCATTTGGGGTCTCAGTTTCCCATCTGTGAAATGGGGCGTGGGGGCTGCCCTGGGAGGTCTGTGTCTTCTGCAGCTCTGTGAAGAGGAGAGCCCTGTGCCAGGGTGTGCATCAGGCTAGGCCCCGGGAGGGCCGAGTGGGGGCCTTTCAGCCAGGAACTGAGGAGTGTTTCATAAAGGATAAAGGTTTTGGGGAATGCAGGGTTTGGGGGCTGGTGAAGCATCCAGGGCAGGCAAAGCAGTGAGCGGTTAGCACCTGGGGCCTGAAGGGGTGGTGGAACAAGCTGTTAGGGGATCCTGAGGCTGCAGGAGCTGAGACCAGCATGGTCTCATAGCCGGCACCTCCTACCCTAGCCTGGCTTCCCACCTCTCAGCTGCATTCAGTTCTCCTTGACCTTCCTCTGCTTTGGAGACGTTTCCCATCAAAGCACTGTGACCCCACTACTCCCAAAGCAGCCTGGCTGGAAGAGATGGGGAAAGACAGTATGTGCTCTTTGGAGGTGGTGAGCTCCCTGTCGCCAGGAGAAATCAAGACGAGGGACAAAGATTTTGGTAGGTAGTGAAAGCATGGGAGTGTGGGGGTGTATGTGTGTGTTTGGGAGGGGTTCAATGACTTCTACTTAAACATTTTCATTCTTCCCTATTGGGAGGTGGACAGCATCGTTTTAAGGAGTTCAGGTTCTAATTCTGGCTCCACCTGGGTGAGCTTGGGCAGCTCCTTCACGACTCTCATCTGTAAAATGCCTGGAAGATGGAGCTGCCTTAGAATGAGATGAGCCAGAACGGCTGGGGGAGCAGGTCTGGGGTCTGAGCTCCCAAGGGGTTATTCACGCCAAGAGCAACGAAACCCCTCAGAGCCAAGTCTCCTCCTCCGTGAGACCTTCTGGGACGGACCTGGGACTCCGAGTTGCCAACATACCCCAGGCTTTCACTTCCCAGGTGGTCCCAGGAGGTGTCCGGTCTGCATCCTTTCAGCTTTTGCTCCTGCACTTAGTAAAGGGAGGGTCCCCAGAGGCGGGCCTGGTTTAAGGCCAAGGTTTGGAGAGCCAGGTGGTCAAGGAGATGTCTCCCCTGGCCCGAGGCTGCTAGCGGGGTACAGCACGCCGGGAATGCATTCCTTGAGAGGTCAAGTTCACGTCCGGTACTGACAGTGAAAATGTTTTCGTTTAAAGCACTAAATAGATGAGGAGGGGTCAGTGGAGACCTGGGCCTCCCAATTTAGCCCCAGAGTTGTCCTGTTTTTGTTTTTCATCCATCTACCTAGCAAACATTTGTTGAGCACCTACTATGTGCCAGATGCTCTAGGGACCCAGCGAGGCTGAAACAGGCAGAGATTCCTGTTGCTTGAGCAGGCACCCTGGTGGGAGTGTCAGACAGTAGACAAAACAAGAAAAAAATATATGCCAGATGGAGCTGGGTGCCAGAGGACACGATAAAGCAGGTGTGAGTGCGTGTGCACGCGCAGGTACAATTACAGGGAGACCGGTCAAGGATTGACAGCTGCTGGGAAGGACACGGGGAAACGAGACACCATCACCCACCAACTCGATAAACGGCCCCACATCTAAGTGTCACTTGGCTTGACACTTGGCTGTCATCCCAGGTGCCCGCTTCTGCCTTGCCCCTGCTTGCTGCTCACTTGGCCTCCTGTCTCCTGGCCCCATCTTCTCCCCTTTAGGCCACCCAAGGTGTCAGGGAAGAGCTCTAACCTCATAGAGGACAATAAAACCTGACCTGTCACCTGTCCACAGGTGCCAAAAGAAGACAAAGAGCCTCAGCCAAACAGAGTGACGCTTGTTACAGCACAGTGCACAGTGGACAGTCAGCATCATGAGGCCGGTCCCCTGCCCTCAGGTGACACCGGGAGAGGCCATGGGCCTAGATGGATGCTACAGCATCATTTTTGGTAGCAAGCGGCAGAACAGCCAGTGCACTTACCCCAGGGAGCGAGCAGCGCATGGTGGTCACTGTGTCATCACCTTGACCCCCTCACTCAGGGGACCAGGCACAGAGACAGCTGAGGATCTGGGGTGCTTAGGCCTTGTGGGCTTGGCACATCCAGGGCACTTGGCTGACTGGCCCTCCCAATGCCAGGGCCACCCCTTCCATCTTCCAGAGAGAAAGGGACTCTCTCCATGACCCTGGAGCGTCCCTCTGGAGAAGGGAGAGGCTGGGCCCCAGCTGGGGAGCGGGGGCGATGACCAGAAGCCTTAAGCGTCCACCCCTCACAGTCCCTGCCTGCCACACCATCCTCTCCCGTCTGCGCTCTCCCACCTGGGCATCTCGCTTCACTCCGACCCGAGCTGCCCTTCAAGGTAAGAATACCAATGATGTCACTAATAATAATAACAGTGCCATGGAGGAGAGTTATGGGGGGTTGAGTAGTGCCCCCAAATGACATGTCCATGTCTTGTCCCCGAGACCTGTGATGTGCCCTTCCTTATTTGGCAAAAGGGTTTTTGCAGATGTAATTAAGGATCTCAATGGAGATCATCCTGGACTATCTGGGTGGTCCCTAAGGCCGGTGACAAGTGTCCTTAAGAGAGAAGAGAAGATTGGGTGGGCCCTAAGGCCGGTGACAAGTGTCCTTAAAAGAGAAGACGCACAGAGCAGAAACACGCCGGGAGAAGGGAGAAGCCAGGTGAAGACGGAGGCGGAGCTTGGAGTGACGCAGCCTCAAGCCAAGGAACCCCTGGAGTAACCGGGCGAGGAGCATTCTTCTCCAGAGCCTTCGGAGGGGGCACAGCCCCGACGACCCTTAATTTTGGGCGTCTGGCCTCCAGACCTGAGAGAGAATACATCCATGTTGTTGGAAGCCAGCCAGTGCGTGGGCATTTGCTACGGTGGCCACAGGAAGTGCCTTGGGCTTTGCAGTCAGGTGGCTGGGGTTCCAATTCCACTCACCAGCTTGTGATGCTGGACAAATCACTTGGCCCTTTAGTGCCGCAGGATTCCTCACCTGGAAGATGGGACGATGATGATGCTTACAGCCGTTCGTGTGAAAATTGAGCTGATGCATGAAAAATGATTAAAACGGGGCTGGATACCTTGTAAGTGCCCAAAGACTGTTAGCTCGTATTAACAGATTTGCGTGGCTGACATTTATATCAACTGCTCTTCAGAGTCCCTGTGAGCCTGTATCTCTTGAATCCCCACTTTCTTTTCCTTCCTCTCCGCTCCTGCAAATCCAACCCCGTCTCTTCCCTGCTCAGACCACGTCCATGGCTCCGCAGTGCCCTCGGGACAAACTTCAAACGTATTACCTTGCCCCAGGAGGCGCTGTGTGGCCTGGCCCCCGACCTCCTGTGAGTGAATGAATAAATGGATGGATGGATGAAATGACAGGAAGGGTAGCTCCTCGCTCTGCCTCTCAGCCGGCTCCCGGGACACTTCCAACTCTGCCTCCTCGCCAGTCCCCACTGCTCCTTCCAACCTTGCTTTCCTGTCCCCGTCCCTTGAAACGCCACCAACCTGGCTTGCAGCATTCCCGGCTCCCCGGCTCCACCTAGGGCTGGGCAGAGCAGGGCAGGGCAGGGCGGCACTCTGCTGACCCCTGGTGGCCGCCTGGGGCTAACACACTGCATCATCCGGTCTCTGGCAGTCGGCCTGGAGCTGGGGAGCACCTAGTACCGTTAGGTGCTGGCCTTAGCTTGGGGAACACAACTCCGGAGGGTTTCACAGGGTAGTGGGGGAGACAGACGGTAATTGTAATCACTGTAGTGTCCACCCGGAGTCATTTACCTCCTCCCACAGCCGCGTGCAATCTTGAGTACATTGTGTCAACTTGACGCTGGAGACATCCAGCCAGACGCCCCCGCTCCTGGCTCCACACACACTCCCCGGGCTCTGGTCTGAGCCGCCATCGCCTCCTTCCCAGTTCCTGGCTCAGTCTCACCGATTTCTCCTTTTGCCTCAGGCGTCAACATCACTCAGCAGTGTTGCTGATTCTGTTTCTGTCTAAAATTTTGATATGTTTTTTCACTTATTTTAAAACACCGTATTGGAATATTTTTATCGTGATCACTTTGTGTCCCCTTAAGTTTTTTAGAAAATTATTCTTCCTTTTCTCGTTTTTTATTTTTTATTGTCCCCTCAACTTCTGCAAGGTAGGCGAGTGCCTCACTCACCTCAGCCTCGTCCCTGTGCTGCTGCGATGTCACCTCCTCAGTCTTCTTGATTCTCTTAAATATCATTCGTGTTCCTCCAAAGCCACGTCCTCCCCGACTCCTTATCTGTGCCCGACATTTTGGCCTATGTTCATTTCTTTGCCTACTACTGTCTTTTCCACTAGATGTCAGCTCCGGCTGTGTCCCCAGGTGGCTGGCACAGAGCAAACGCTCAGGAAATGTGTTAGGTGGGCAAATATAATCTAAATGAATGACGAGCAGGGAAATGCTTTTGAAGAAGAGAACATTTTTTTTTTTTTTTGTCCTTGAAAGTGAAGGAGTCCGCCTTGGTCTGGAGTCAGACTGGGCTTCCCTGAGAAAGAGTCCGTGCAGCCGAAATCTAAAGGTTAAGGAGGGAGTTAGCAAGGAGGGGTGTGCCAGAGGCCTGAGGTGGGCGGGCCCTCAGGGAGCGGAGTGGAAGGCAGGGTGAGGGTAAGGGCCCCCAGGAGGCCTCACAGGACCTGCTGAAGAGTTTGGGCTTTCTTCTAAGGGTGCCCTGGAAGGTGACAAGGGAGGGGCGGCATGGCCAGATCCGTTTGGAAAAGCTCCCTCTGGTTGCCAAGAGGAGGTGGGGATGGGGGTGAGTGGGCCTGGGAGCTGGGAGGTGGCCAGGAGGCTGGGCAGACGTCTAGGTGAGTCAGTCAGGACGGTGGCAGGTTAAGGAGGAAGGAAGTGGTGGGATTTGACAGGCATCTGGAAGGGAAGACGAAAGCCGGGGGTGGGCCTGGCTGATGAGGAAAGGCTCCAGGCCTCCAGGGTCGCTGCCTTGCGGGGGCATGGAAGGACGACAGGAGAAAGGGGTCAGGAGTTAGGCCGTGGGTGTGTCGCAGTGGTCACCAGCTGGCGTGTCACCAGCAGGTGGATAGGAGTGAATGCTTGGAGTGGAGGTCTGGGCTGGAGAGTCACGTGGGAGATGCTGGCTTACAGACGGAGGCGCAAGTCAAGGGCAAGGCTGAGACCAACCAGTTCTACACACTGAGGACCTACCATGCTCAAGGCCCTTTGTTGTGCATCCTGGGAGGACATGCAGGGACTTGACTTGGATGGCTAGGGGCCGAGAGGTGCACTGTACAAGTCCACACGGCTCAGACTTCCAGAACTAGAAAAAAAGACAGGTTTATGTCAGCACACAGACGGCCAGCTCTGTACTGCAGTTTCGTTTTGTTTTTAAAGAACTAATTGAATCGACGTGTGAAAGGGTCAGGGAAGGATCCCTAGATGGAAGAGCTTTGACGGACAGGTGAGTTGGTGGGCGAGTTGGTGGGCGAGTTGGTGGGCGAGCTGGTGGGCGGAGGCGTGGGGGCTGGGGCTGGAGGGAATTCCAGGCAGGAGCGGCACAAGCCCAGAAACGAAGCGGGAAGCAGGCAGGCACATTCGGAGGACGGCGGCAGTCTGGACCGATGCCGGCGTCCGACTGGAGGAGTGGGGAGGGCCAGCTGGATCCAGAGGGAGGGGGCCCGGCGTGGACGTCCCATGGGCACTTGCCCGAGTGACCGCTCGGCAGGAAACCCATGCAAGCGGGTGGCTTCTTGTCTCCGGTGCCAGCTCCTGCCGACTGGCCACCTGGAGCCATGGAGGGCCCGAGCTCTGTGGGAGTGTCATGATCGAGTCCTGTCTGTCACAGGCACAGGAGGGGACAGGTGTCTTATACCGAGGAGTTCCCACTCCTGCCGTGGGTAACGCAAAGCCAGGTCTTCCTTCTGGAATAACTTTGGGATATGACGAAGGTGGGCTGGAAGGGGCGAGACGGAGGGCAGGCAGGGTGGGGGGGGGTCCGTCAGAGTCCAGGTGAGCTGGAACTGGGGGGCCTGAACCAGGATGGAGGCAGTGGGACAGCAAGGCCACAGCTGCAGGTGGACCTAAGGAGCCTAGAAGGGAGGGGTGAGGGAGGGGAAAGAGCAGACTGAGCCTGGGGGACAGGCTTCTTTGGGAGGCAGCCAACCTCCCTGCCTGGAGGCATGGGGGCCGGAATGAAGGCAGTAACGAGCTAACTCTCCTGATGGGTCCCTGTGGCCACAGGGGTCCGTGGCTGGTGCTTTGGATGATGACCTTAAAATACAAGAATGACGCGTAGATTCGGGGGCAACGGCTGACTCTGCTGCAGGAGCAGGAAGCAGGCCCCTGGGAGCAGCCTGGGCACGGAGGGAGGTGGGGGGTGGGAGGTGGGGTAAGGGGGACGGCAGCTCCCCCGGGCCCGGCTCTGTGGGAGAATGCCTTCTCCCTCCCTGTGGCCAGAGCCGACTGCTCCTGCTGGAGGGTCCCTGGACACTGCCTCTGAGGATGGAGCCAGTGTCCCCACTGGGCCGGGGGCCAGGAGCCCAGCAGGAGGGGCCACCGTCATTTCTCTCAGGGTTGGTTTTTTACAAGACGGATTTATTGACTATGATACATATCACATAAGGCCTTTTCAGTTTTTTACACCATTCCCATTGAGACAAGTACAATACTTTGTAGCAAATACATGATTTTAAAAAACAAAACCAAACGTAGAACACCTCGGTCAGAGATGCCTCAGCCTTAGTTGATGGCTGACCATGCACTAGCCAGGTTGGAGCCTCAAGGTACCCACGACATGTTCAAAGAAAAAGAGTCTGGAAATTAAGCAAACATTCCTACCACCACCTAGAGCGTGTCCTGGTTAAGCCCCTAAAACACAAAGAAGCAACTGTTAACTTTCTTCACAAACAGTTCTCCACTTTTGCTGCAAAACAGAATTTTGGGCACGTGGCCAGACTACTAACACATTTCAATACCATTAATGTTTTTTTTTTCCTCAGGAAACTCAAAATATTTGTTAATTCAACATATATAAAGATCATTTAACATGTGAAAATACAAGTACCAGAAAAATAAGCTGGCAGCAGCACTATTCCAAATTTTCAAACAAGTTTTATTCCCATACGGTTCAGACATTTCCTTTTTTGTAATGTACACAGGGAACATGATTCTTTTTTATGCAAACAATAACTTATGCCCCGTCTCACGACACTGACAGTGTGACCTCACGGCCGTGTGGGCTGGCGGCGTTGGCAGCAGAGGGGTGGCCACCTCTGACCCCCGGGGGGCCACAGGTGGGCGGCTCCCCGAGGGAAGGGTCCTTCCCATCTAAGACAGCGACACAGGCACAGCCCGGGGGACGCCCAGACCTTGGGAGAGAACGGCCTTTCCCTGCACACCACGCCCTCCCTGCTGCCGTCCCCAGCACAGTCCCAGACCGGACTTAGGTTTCTGGCACACGTGACTCAGTCTGTCCTTCCACCTAAGTGCAAAAGAGTGGCTTGAACCTGCCAAGCGATAGGAGTGAGGGTGACGGCCCCGTCTGCAGAATGAGCGCTGTGCCTGTCTCCGGAGGCGAGGCAAAGGCTTTGCCCTTCAGGCCCGTTCCCGTGCCCCAGGGCATGCTACACCCATGACCCACGAGGAAGGTGGAGCACAGGAAGCTGGTCCCCAGCAACTCGCCCAAGTCCTGGCACTGCTTCCCCTGGGAAACGCAGTGGCCGGCTGACCAGAGCCCTCGGCGGCTGGGGGCCGACACTTCCCGGCCACTGCCCACTTCTTTTTCTAGTGCAGTGGTCCTCACCTTTGTGGCATCAGGGACCAGTGCTTGCATGAGAATCCAATGCTCGCTGATGGGAGGGAGCTGAGGCGGCGATGCTGGCGCTGGGATGCAGCTGCGGACACGGACGACGACTCGCTCGCCCGTCCGCCGCTCCCCTCCTGCTGGGCGGCCCAGTTCCTACCAGGACACAGACCGGTACCGGTCCACAGTTTGGGGGTTGGGGACCCCTGCTCTAGCAGACCCCTCAAAGCAGTATTCTCACGGGAGGGATGGGGTGCGGGAGGCGACTTCAGATCACTAACGCTGCAGCTCGTTTTCAAATCTCAGGGCCGAGGCTGGGGCACCCTTGTTCACCCCCCACGCGCCAGGAACACGGACGGGGAAGGCGCACGCTCCTGAGCCCTCTGGGCAGCGCGCTGCTGCGAGGAACCACCATGGCCACCAGGGCTCACTTCGCCTGCTCTGGAAGAATCACCCGGCGGCAGACTTCCTGCCACACAGGAGGAACCACGGCGGCAGCGGGGGTGGGGCTCACAGAGACCGTGCCGCCCAGTTCTCTCCGTGCCCCTCACGTCAGGATGCTGTGACGCCCGACACGGCCAGGGGTTCAGGGCGACCCTGCGAGCCACCCCAGCCCCTGCCCTCCACGGCACCAGTGCCACAGGGCAGGACTGGCCTTCAGCTTACAGCCAATGGCTGTCGTGGCACCTACTCTCTCGTGGACCCAGACAGACCACCAGACGGGGAGAGCCCTGCCCGCCACGCCCTGCCGGCCCCCTGGCCAAGGCCGGCTCGTGCTCGCTCCGCTCTTAGCTTCGAGCCGTGGGGAGCATGTGTTTAAGGAAGCGTCCCACGCGAGCCCCAGCTCTCGTGGCCCTCCACCCAAGCGCCCACTTCGTCTGAACGCCGACCCCCGAGTGGAAGCGGACACCTGGGGCCCAGCACTACCAGTGGTGATGCCAACTCAGAATGACCAAGACACGTCCCCTAGCCTGGGCCAGCTGAAAGCAGCAGCGGAGTCCGTGAGGAAGCAGCAGAAACGAGAGGAACCCCGAAGCCGCCTGCCCACTGCAGCTCTGGCTGGACGGGAGCTGCTGGTCCCCCCGCCTGCACCTCGAAAACCTTGGCAGGACACGGGAAGGTGAGGGGGGCCCATGGCTGCTCCAGCTGGCCGCCAGGGTGCGCTGCGGGACCGGAGGCAACCTCTATCTGGGGAGGACGCCGAGCACTGCTGCTCCTCCCCACACGCCCAGAACCCCCTGCCGCGTACACGCTGCATCTCAGGGTGGGGTGCCGTGGGCAGGCAGGCCTGTTGGGGGCTTCTGAGCTCCTGGTGCAGAGCCCAGGCTGCAAGCGGGGTGGGGCTGTGGCCAGGGCGCCAGCACCGAGGGGGTGGCAGTGCAGCCTGGGCAGCGGGAGGGAACTGGGATACTGCTATTTCAGTTCGCACCAGGACAGTGGCCCCAGGTCACCCCCATGGCACCCTTTCAACTCAAACGCAGTGCCTCGAAGCAGGTGAGAACGAGGGACAAATTAATTCAGTGGACCGACTTCCTCTCCTGCCTGGGGGTCTGCCAACCTCTGTCAAAACTGAACAAGAACGTCACCCTGCAGCCCACCCTGACCTAAACCATCAAGCACAGCTCCACCAGAGAAACGCTCGTCACCCAACGTTTACATAAAACGGTCATGTACCTCGGGTGTGTTTTTTGACTTGGGTTCCTGAAAAGGAGGGTAAAACTTGCAGGGATAATTTAGTTTTTCCAAGCACCTTATTTTGCCGTACGCGAACTAGGAACGGTAAGGATCCAGCTTATCCAGAGGAAGGAGCCCGTGAGCCGAGGGCTGCCCCACTCTCTACAGCCAGCCGGCAGCGTCTGGGGCTAGGGGTACCTGGACAGTCCTCGGGGCATCTCTTAATTTGTCAGGCCACCCAGCTGAGGTGACCAGGGCATCCTCAAACACACCCAGGTGCTACTTCTTAAAGTGCAGAGACCCAGAGGTCAGTGTGGTGGGCGGGCCCTCCACCCCACACCCTGCACCCTGGGCACCGTAGTGTCAGGCTTCTCCACTGCAGCGGCCACAGCCCGGCCACCAGGGGTAGGGGGCAGCCAAGGTCTGTAGCAGCCTTAGCAGGTTGCTGTGTGTACTGGGGCGTGGGAAGGGTTCTCCCAGGGGCCAGTGGAAAGGCCAGGAAGCTGAGGGGAGGCCATTTCTCAGAAAGGGTGGGCAAGGCCACAGGAGGGGGGTGGGGTGAGACAGGCAGGTGTTGTGACTCTGGTGGCCTCTGTGCATGTGGCTCCTCTGGGATCTCCTGGCCTGGGGAGCATGAAGGATGGCCCCTGCGGACACCAGCAGGACACAGTGCTTCAGTTCCCTACCCCGCCCTCTTCCCGCACACACCCTGCTGGTGGCACAGTGTGCCCCAGAATGAAACGATTCCGCTTCAACACCAAGCACACTAAACGAAACCCCAGTGCGCCCTGAGCTGGCCCCACTCCAGTCCTCCTCCCCCCAGTGTCCCCACAGCCTGTAGTGTTCCAGGGCAGACCAGGTGCCAGGCTGGTCTGCTCGAATCCCCAGCTCCACCCACCGAGGGCTCGAATCGTCTCTTCTTGGGGAACACAGACCTGATAACAGGACGTGAGTGGGACCCCCAACTAGTTCTCAGGCAGCCGCCCGCCAGGCCTCCTGGTTTTGCTGTCACAAAGACCAGGGCCCCCTTGCGCCCGTCGGCCTGAGAAGCGGGGGAGCTGAGTCTTGAGGTCTGTAGTTTCTTCCTTTTTGTTTTTCCAAGTTACTGGACAGGTTTTCCTCCTTTTCTCCCAGTGTCCCTCTGTCATGAAGGGAACTGTCCCCGAAGCCTATGCAGCGGACAGGGAGCACGGGGGCTGGAGGGACGAGTCACACTCTCTCGGTCCAGGCACAAAGCTCCCTCCAGCTGTTCTGGGCGGCCGGGCAGACGCCCTCGGCACTGTGCCTTGGGGCGGCAGCGCCGTGGCCTCTGTTCCCCAGGAGGCTGCTGGACAGGCGCCCCGCCGACGGGGGTGGGAACAGATGTGGAAGGTAGGGAGACAGGTGAGCCAGATGAGAAGTGTCTCCTCGGAGGTTGCCAGGGGTGGCCCGAATCAAAACCACCTCCTCCCCCTGGCAAAGGCCAGGGCTCTGTCAGGCAGTGGGTGACGCCGAAGCTGGTGTGCGTGGGCAGGCAGTCCCGGAACAGCGAGCATGTGGACGGCCACCGGGGCCGCCGCCTGGCCAGTCAGTCTTCGAAGGGGTCCGTGTCCAAGGGCAGGGCCCCCAGCCGCTGCCCGCAGTCAGCCCCAGGTCTGCGGCGCTGGGCTCGGGGCGCCGCGGGCCCAGCCTATGGTGGACGCTGGCTGGTGCTGCAGCTGAGATCTTGAGAAGGTGACAGAGGGGGAGGGGACAGCCTCCCCACCCCTGCCCCAGTGGACCTGGTTGTGTTCAAGACCAAACGCCACCCCGACTGAGAAAATCGAGCCTCTTTTTGCCCCAGGCCTTGGTGACTCACAGCGTGTGCTCGGCTTGAAGCTGGGAGGGGAGCAGGGGCTGCATCGGGGACTGAGGGGTGGGTGGAGGCGACTGTGGGGGCGACGGCTGACCGGTGACCGGTGTGGAGGTGAGGAAGGGCACGCTGGAGGCCAGGGCGGAGGGGGAGCTGGGCGTGGCGCCGGGGGGCTCGCTGATGGGCCGGTTGTAGAAGAAGAAGGGGCACTGCTGGATGAAGAGCTCAATGATCGTCTGGTAGGTGCGCGTGGCCGTGAGCGCGTCCATGGTGCTGAAGTCCGGCCGCATCAGGGTGGGCCAGAAGCAGATGGAGAGGTTCTCACTGGTCATGAGGTTCACCTTGTTGTTGTGGCTGACTCTGTGGGCGACACCGAACGTGCGGTCAGAGGCCCCATGCCCTGCCCTGCCCCGTGCATGTGCTCATGGTCACTGTCACTCTGGCTGCCCACTTGCAGCCTGAGAGAAAAGGCCCAAGCAGCTGTCTGTGCCCTGTCCTCTGCTCCCGTGTCCCCACGTGGCAAGCCCCCAAGGAGTGGCTCTGAGGCCCTGGCTCATGGGAGGCCCCTACAAGCCACGGGGGTGGACGGACTGTCTTAGGGACTCTCACAGGGATCACCACTGTGGGTGACAAGGCTCTGGCTGTGCCGGGATAGGGAGTGTGAGTGTCCCAAGCAGAGCCCTGGGAAGCACTTCAGCAAGAGGAAGGCAGGCCTGTTGCGTGTGACTGCTCGGGGACAGCCCGCTCACAGGCCTCCGCCCCGCAGCCCCAGCGCTCCCTGACGGGGCTTTGCTCCTTCTCGGTGCCCACTCTTGGCAAGGTGTCTGCCACACACCAGAGAAACAAGAATTCTGGGGAGAGGGACCCGGCCCGCTCAAGGCCACGTGGGCCTCTCTCAAAACCGGGGCGGACACCGGGGCATGAGCCAGGTGTGGCCCGCTGAGGCGGGGGGCCAGCAGCTGCTGGCGGGCAGAGGACGGAGCCCTGCTCAGCCTCGCCGTGCTAACTGGCCCTGACTGGCGGCCTCTGAGGGAGGCGGAGCAAACGGCAAACCGTGGGACATACTTGTTCAGGTGCGAGATGACATATTTGAAGACTTCGTGGTTTTCCTTCGGAAATTTCTTGAGTACTTCCTTAAGGGCGTGCAACTTCTGCTCTCGGTCGTTGATTTCTGAGAAAAGAGAAAAGCAGACTTTCATGGCCACCACTTGTGGGTGCTCTGGGGCTCAAAGCAGATACGGGTCCCGGGTAGCTGGTGAAACCGGTGGTTGGCGGCTGCCTCGCAGTGTGCTGCTGGACCTTCTGGAGGAGAGCCCCGGGCTTTAGACAAGGCCGACCCCATTGTTTCCCACAGAGCCTGTGCCCAGGGCCGCACACCTGGCAGTGGCACAGGACCAGGGCCCAAGCCTACCTCGGTCCCAGGGCCCCACTGAAGGGGAGCGCTGTGTGCCCAGGGCTTCCTGGCCCCCACCACCGAGATTCGAGGGTCCAAAGAGACTCCATCATAAAGAACAGCATTCTTTGCTCGTCTGGTTGCCCCTGGAGACAGGCGTCTCCTCGCGGAAAGCCTGCCTGCTTCCTGGCCAGACGGGTGAGCGCTGCCACCCACCCACGCCAACGGACTGCCTAGGGAGGGAGTCTGTCACAAGACCAGGGCTCTGTCCTTCTCCTGGAGCCACCGGGACCCTCCCCACTCTCCCTATTGGAGGAGGGTTGTCACACAGCCATGCTTTGCCCTCCCCGGAGCCCTAACGTCCTGGGAGGGGAAAATGAGCCGACCCCAGCGAAGCGCTTGACCCGCGCCAGGCCTGCTGCTGGCCGTCCCCATGACCCACGCGGCACAAGCTATTGTTGCCCAATTTCACGCATGAGGTCTGGAGAGGGGACAGAGCCTGACCGTCTGACCACTGTGCTCCCTGGGGTCCTGGACCCCTCCCGAGTGGGCCTGGTCCGTCCTGGCCGGGAGGGCCAGTGGGGGCGAGGTGGAGGACCTGGTCCAGAGCCCACGTGGAGTCTGGTGGCCGACAGGGTTCTCTGAGTGTGGGGAGGCCACCTCTAGGGCTGCAGGGCTCAGAAACACCAGAGCAGGGCCGCCCCGTGGAGGGATGGCAGCCAACCCACCACTGAGGGCTGTGGGGGTAGGTGGACGGGGTCCATTAAGAAATGCGACGCTAACTGGTTTGGGGTCACAGGCTCCTTTGGGATGGAGGAAAGTGCTGGGCCTTCTCCCCACAAATAAGACATGTACAAGCCCACCTACGCTTCCTGGGGGTCTGCAGGCTCCCCAAACCCCCACATTCTTTAGGAAGCCTGTGGCTTCTGAGTGAGGGACCTCTGCAGCTGGCGCCGAACCCAGAGTGTGACCGTCTTGGGGGGGTGGTGTAGGGGGTGTAGGAGGGGCCTGGTGAGGTAGGGGAGGGCCTGGCAGGGCGGGAGCACCGTGTGGTGGTCCTGGGTACGAATCCTGTCTCTGACACACACCAGCTGTGTGACCTTGGGGAAGTGATACATCTGAGTGTCAACCTCCTTATCTGTAAGAGGGGCTGATGACGGTGCCTCGACTCGGTGACGGCCCCCCATGAAAAACCGGGACACTAGTCCGTCTGTCTGTCAGGGACCCCCGCAGCAAAGACGGGCGAGGACGCTAGCGAAAGCTTTCACAGGCGGGCGGTGACCCTGAAACTGCACAGACTTGATAACAGTGTTGTGGAAACGTTGGTCTGTTAGAAAATGACTAAAGAAACCCACAGGAACTCCCTACATGGAGCCAGTGTCAGCTTCATTTCTCTGAACCTAGGATTTAAGGGCACGCTTTGTTTCTGGCCTTGAGTTTCAAAACCCTTTCCTGTTAAGTTTCAAGAAAACGTTTACTTATAAGAAGTGGGCTGCTCTGGGAGGACGAGAGGTGGTACCGAAGAGCAGGAGAAGCACGTGCGAGGCTCAGGCCCCCTAAGAAATGACCGTGCCCTTCCGGGTGCGACACGGCACAGGCCTCTCCTGGAGCCCACGCGACAAGCACAGCTGTGTTTGCTTTAATTGGGCCCTTGACAGCAGCACCTTCACCCAAGAGCCGAGTCCCGCCCGCCCATCCGACCGGGGGCAGGAAGCGGGGCTGGCAAGGCCGCCGTCTGTCCGCCAGGACACCCCTCTCCTTCCTATCTGCTGAACAACCAGCAGCGCTGCTTCCTCTCCCCCTCGGGGGGCGGGGCGGGCTGGGGTTCCAGAGTCTGCCTCGATGGTAATTCGCGACCAGCCCCAGGATGCCGGCCTTTCTGGACATGGCGAGGTGGCCGTAGGACCGAGGTGGCCCCCCTCCCACTAGCTGTGTGGTGCAGGCACTCGCGAGCACTGAGGAGCATCTAGTGTGTGGCGGGAGGAGGCGGCCATTGAGGAGGGTGACAGGAAGTCTCCCAGGACGAGGCGAGGCCCATCTCGCTGATGGCCTTCTGACTACTGAACCCCCCTGCCCGTGCCGAGGGGCCTCCTCATGGTGGTCACCTTCGGGGAGGCTGGCGTGTCAGCGGGGAGGTCTTGGCTGCTTTGTGCAGCTCTCAGCACCATGAGACGTGTGGCTGCGTCTGCCCCATGTGTGGCCGAGAAAACCCGCTCGACGGGCAACGCCGAGGGCGCAGGCTGGGGGTGGGGAGGGGAGGGTGGCCCAGGCCCCGCTCCCCGTTCAGCATACCTGCTCCGTCCCACCTGCCTCCCACCAGGCTGCAGACACCGCTCCAATGTTAACAATCCTCTCTGAAATGGGGGGAAGGTCTTTAGAGGGACTCGGGCCTCCCCAGCTAACATGCCATACTTTCGAAATTAGGTGTCAGTCCACTGAGACAGCAAGATAGTTCAGGAAAAGTTATTTTCAGGCCAGTTGAGCCAAGATGAAGTCGGACACGGGCCAGGCAATTTAGAACTGAGACTCCAAGAACTCAGGAGGAAGAAGAGGGGACAGCCAGAGGCCACCAGGGACCTTAGGGACTAGCTCTCTGTATCTCTTATGGTATACAGATAAACCAAAGCGCAAAGAAGTAAAACGCTGGTCCAAGGTCACACAAATCAGTGCCAGGAACCCTGATCCCAAACACTGTTCCTGCCCCGACTGTGGCACTCTGTTGCCACCTCTGGAACTCAGGATGCTAACCAGACTCCAGGCTTGGATCTGCTGCCACCCAACTTGGGACCTAGAGGCAAATCCTGGATGGCCTTTGACCAGCTGGCACACCTGCACCACCAGAAAGGGACAACGCCTGGCTTCGGGCCACACCCTCAGCGAGGCATGCGGCCAGCCTGGTGCAACCCCTCGGTGGGGAGTGACTCCAAGGCCGAGGCGGAAGATTCTGGGTGTCCTTTTCCTGGAGGCGCGACCTTGCATGCCCTGATCAAGGTCTCCTACCCACCAGGCCGGGGCAGGGCCTGTGCATCTGTCCATCCGCTGCGGCCAGCCCTTATCCCACACAGGGCCTGACACGTGCTAGGAAGTGAGGAACACCTTCGTGACCTCCAGAAGCTATCTGCACAGACGAGCAGCAGGA